TACTTTATTTCTTGAAGTAATTCTAATTATTTGAACAAGATTAATGTTACATTTATCGTTGAAATTATTGCATTATTTTGCACTGTTGGTAAAAAAATATTGTGCCAATTATTGTAATTATACGAGATCAAACATTTTTTTTTTATATAATCGTGAATGCTGCAGGCATTAACTGTAGAAAACCCCAACATTTTAAAGGTAAAAGCACGGCACATGACATTGCGCAAACGATTAAACGATTAAACATTAAAAGGGCTTTAAGATTACCGTACACAGTCGGAAAAATCATTGTCCCTCGTTCTCTCTCCCTCCACAATTCTTTCCCCGCTCTTCTCCCCAACGTCAATCTCTTACGTCTTTCTTATCTCTCTTATCCGCTCGTTTTCCACGAGAAAAGTCGCCGGCACACGCTTGTAGATGCGCTCCAAGCGCCTGCATAAAACTGACGAAACAGTGGCTGCAAAAGTCCCAGCCAATCGACGACGAGCGCCATTCCTAAACTCACACATGTACACTCGAGCGTAGACACACGCCCTCGCGCGTAAAGCAAGAGGTTCGTGAGTTCGTCTAGGGCACGTTGAGAGAAACGCTTACATGCGATATCAACGCCAGCGATGTAATGTGCTTCTCGACGCCTGGCACGAGGTAGATTAACAATTCTTGACATTTTAGTGGCTCCTCTCAACTACCGCCCCCTACACGGCCTCCTCTCTCACTCACACACTCCGTTATCCGTTGTCGTCGTCTTGAGTGTATACAGTGGCAGCGTGGCCGCGTCTTGCAGCGACGGCGGCGACCTCAGAGAAAGGGTCGCGCCTAACGAGCGACGGGATTGATTAATCTCCTTTCTAGTCTAAGCAGGTTTCTCTCGACCCCTCGAGGCTCCTTCGCCTTTATTTCCATTCTTTCGTTTTTTCTACTTCTACGGCATTCTGAGCAAAGTAATTAAATTCGCACGTCCAAACGATTTGTTTTTCTTTGCTTCGTTATGGCAGCGCACTGCTTTAGGCTAGATTTCAAGCTCTGAAGCTCACCGTCGTACTTGGATTGCATGGTTTTCGGAAGCTATTCATTTTTTTTTTTATTTTTTTTTCTCGGAATTATTCATATTCGATATGTCGGCTGGTTGATTAGAATTGTGTAGTTATAGTGTGTTGGCTCTTGTGTCTTCGCAGGATACTTTTGAAGCATTCAATAATAGACACTCAACAGTGTCGATTAAGTCCGAATAATTTTATCTTCATCAATGCCCATTATTTTGGCTTGAAAAATATGTTGTTGTTGTTGTTGTTGTTGTTTTTTCTTTTTGAAGCGTCTTAACATGCTTTTGTTTTCCTTTAGTCATTCAAGGCATTTGAGACTGATAATATTTTCCGAAAAGGACGATTCGTTATGTATACATAAATGACCAAGTCTCATTCGAGCTTCTTTCTTTCAACAATAAACAAAGCATCAATAATGCGACTTGTTGTTGACCAGATCTCAGCAAAAACTCAGCAGGTATTAACGAAACTTACTCAGTGGTCATAACCAGACCATTGTATATTCAACGTGAATGTACGTAGCGTTAACCCGTCTCAATCATCTTCGTACGTGTTTCCACTCAAAGCTCATACATAAATTTGCTCAAGCTTTTGGATTTTCGATCCTGCGAACGAAACATTATCGGAAAATATGTGTCGTAATGAGCCGCGAAAAAGGACGTTATACCGAGAGTTTTAAACTTGTTCGGAAGCAGTTGAAGCCCCGGAACTTGGAACGCTTAGGGAACGGGACTCACGGTACGTTTCGTACGGTCGACGAAAATAGACGAGCCGCGTAATATTTCAAGCTCGCAAGCAGTTACCGCCTCGCGACCGCCTCTAATTGAGGATGAGCGCGAAATTCCAAGGCCAGGTGGCTGCTAATTGGCCGGTCACCGCCGTTGGTGGTCCTCGCAACTCTAATTGCGGACTCGGTCTCTTAGGTTTGACAAAAGTCTGGCCCGGCCATGTTCCTGCGGTAAAGGCTCGCGATAGCAGGACAGATCACGAGCATCACAGTTCCGCTCCGACGTCCGAATTCCCGGTATGATTACGGGACGCGGGAATAGTTAGGGAGACAAACCCTATATTTGGAATTGTCGAGACGGTTTCGAGGGCGGTGACGGGCGACTATGATTTTCTCTGAATGTCTAAAATTGATATCCTTTCATCGACTGATTCACTATAAGAATGTATGCATGAACATTTAAACGTGGTATTATGTTTATCATTTGTATAAAGTATTTTATCCTTATTAATTCGTGAGTCTAATTTATTTCATTCCTGATAATTGATTAAAAAAAAAAAAAAAAAAAAAAAAAAAAAAAAAAAAAAAAAAAAAAATTTGTTGTATACCTACCTTAGAGATAAGGGTAATAGAAAATGATTTCAATATAAAAGAAAAATTTAAAAATATTGTTCTTTATTGCGTAAAAAATATGAAAAGACTCGATTAAAACATCAATTTGTACGTAAATACATTTTTTCTTTTCTTTATAATATAACTTCATCCATACTTATAATCTATTACTATTTAATATAACTATTAAACCAGCATTTATTCAATAGCTTTATTACAGATATAATATATCGATGAATTTTTAACTATTATTTATCACAATTAAACAATTATAATATACTAATTAAATAACAACAAATACATACTCACACATAGACATTTATATATCTGTCTGTCCATTAAAATATGTATAAATTCGAGATAAATTATCGGTTATAAAAGAATTGCTATAAGTACGTTTGTGGCAAAGAACGTGTAAAAGATTTTGTTGTACGAAAAAGTGTTGAGTCGAATTCAAAGTTGTCAGGCATTAAGGAAAGCAATTTGAGACAAAGGAATAAGTTTTCGATAGTGTCGAAACGTCCGCATTGGTTTGAAAATTGGGCGGTAAATTATCAACTGCAACGCGTAGTGACAGTGGACAATTGAGTTCCAATTCGACAAATAAACCGAATGACGGATGAACAACCGCTCCGAGGTACTTCCTGATCGATCTATAAAGCGAGCGTATCGCTTATTATACACTAAAACAAGTAAATAAGAGCGAGAGCGATCCAAACCTATAGCAATAGCTCAAATTTCAAAAGTTTTATATATTTTTGTACCAACTATTTGCAATCCATATGTTAGATCATAGATAATCAACAACATGATACACAACTACACGCGTACGCCTTATTAAATATATCATTGTTTCACTTTTATTAAACATAATTTTATCGTTTAATACTTTCCCCCATCTCAAAGTATCTCCGCCTCCGCAAAAATGTTCACGTTATTCTTCTCGTTGCAATATAATGATAATAATTTGCTCCAAATAGAATGAATTCGATAATGTGGCAATTGTAATCAAACAAATTGCATTCAACCTCCGTGACTTTATTCAATACTTATAATGACAGATTCCTTTCTCTATCCCTATAAATTTCTCCCTGACTTAATGCTTCTTGTAAAATAATCGGCTCGATCGCGTATAGTCAAGGTCGTGCATTCCAGCCAGAAGCCAAACGTCGTGTGTCGATGTTTCATTGCCCGGCCAATCCGAGCCTCGAGAAATGAGCGACGGCGACGACGTAAAACGATTGTTCACGAGTCGAGGGGCCGGGATTCGCGCCCGTAGCCAGGAAGCCGTCATCCCCCGTATCGGTAGCATATCCGACGCTTGGAGGGTATTATTCATGGGGCGCGCGAGGGCTCATCCCTAAGTCGCTCATCTCATGAATTAGTGAACGCGAGGAGGCCGCCCGCGCATCGAGAATTTTAAGGAACGCCCGGGGTCAGCACACTGATGCATGCAATTAATAGGATGACGGTGCGGGTCTTGGTGCTTTTCAAGTTGTTTTTAATACCTGGCCACTCCGTAGCTGGGAGCGCTCTTGCTTTCTCCCTGTCCCTCGCCCAACCCATCGGCCCATTCCTCTTAACCCGGCATTCTTAAGCAAATGGAATATATTTACTGTCCACTTATTAGCGTTAATAAGGCTCTTTTATTTTACGGAGAATAAATAAGTTTTGAGCTTGTAATTGTTGCTCTTAGGGTAGCTCTCGTTTTCTGTGCCATTTATTTCTCCTACCATTATTAATAGTAAGAGGAGAATGGTGTTTGGAAAATTTTCATTTTTCGACAATTTTGTCCACGAATTGCAAGGATTCTAGAATTCGTGGACTCAAGTGTAATAGAAAAGTTGCTTTGTACTCTTACGGAAGCAGTGTAATTTTAATCAATGAAGAATAGCGTAATTATATAATCCGATTAAGGAAATACATCTTGGCCTGCTACATCTACAATCGTTATTTTCCAAACGTTTAAGAGTCCTAGAAGTTCCTTCGATGGTAAATATTTACTTTTTCTATAATTATAAACCTGATATTTATAGGAATTTAAGGCTAAAAACCCCACAGGCATTTTAAAGCATAAAAATTGCTTAATAGATACTTAAACGTAACTGTATTATAGCAATTATTGAATAATTTTGAAATTTATTAATTGTAACAAGTAATCAGACAACAACGAGACTTTAAAAATACTATCGATTATATAAACTGTTTGTTTACAAGTTGAGAGGAATTCATAATCATTAGCCGCATCATATACACGGGCATATTTTACTGATCAGACCAATTATTTGCCATTGAATATTTAAGCAAATTATCATATATTTATCTATATAGTGAAAGATATGCACGAAAGATTTTACGAGATTCTTTAACGCCAATGACACATTAATTTAAAATAATCTAAATTTAAGAAACTTCCATTAAATAATAATTCTATGATTTTTATAAAAATTTCCATTCCAATACTTTTTGTCGATACTATTCTCTAAACAGCGCTACCTTCAATAAAAGAAAAAAAAATAAAAAAAAAAAATAAAAAACAAAAAAACAAAAAAAAAAACAAAAACAAAAATGTACAAGACAAATTTATAAATAAAAAAAATGTTTATTAAAAATATACGTTGTGCGTGTGTTTGTAAGTGTTAAAAATTACATGGAATGTTTATTTATTATGCTTCTGTAGGTGGTTTACCATCTGGATAGTTCCAATTTTGTATTTTAGCTGAGCCAAAGATCATGAAAGTAGCAAAAGCGGTCATTTGCGCAATGACATTTACCCAAAAAACGTAACGCCAGTTCATGAATGTATGCTAAAAAGTTAAACGATAAACTTTTAAGTATTAGATAGCATTAGAGAAAAATTAAATATCAGTATTGGTATTTTTCCATATAATTTTTTGCGACCATATGAAAAGAGAAGTAATTACATGTATTCATTAAAAACAATCTATTTATTTGACCGATGAATTTTATAATTAATACAATTAATCAAATTAATCTTGTAGCATTAAATTAGTAAAAATTAGTAAAAAAAAAAAAAAAAAAAAAAAAAAAAAAAAAAAAAAAAAAAACATGCTTCAACAGTCTTGACACGCGATGCTTGGATATTTTCACTACCATTATACTTGAATAAAAAAAAAAAAAAAATCAAAATTACCGAAGAAAACTTTTCTCTACCTACTATCGATATTTTATTCTTACCCCAGTCTCAACTAATGCGCCCACTAATGCTGGAATAAGGAATGCGGAAATCGTTCCGGGAGTATTAGTAATGCCCATTAAGGTTCCAGCGAAGTTGGGCGCAAGATCGTTCTGATTGCAGAGGTGTCCCACAAAAATCGCACCCGATGTAACGATACTCAAACATAATAAGCCTACAGTCACCATCCTATTGCATCCAATATAAGCAATTACAATTAAAAATGCCGACACTGGCAAACAACCTGAAATCGAAAAACTATCTTTTAAATTTCACTCGGTGGGAGGAGAGGCTTAATAGGACTAGCTTTAGCATCACGATAACTTATCAAAATTTTTCATCGTTGTCGTATACATTCAACGAATTGTCCAAGCTACTATCATTGTATAATTACTGTGTTATAATGAACAATATGAGCTTATTTAGAAATAGAAAGATCATTAAATTACTTATGGCAACTGCTATTTTGCGCCCACCAGTTTGTGACCACCACCCTTTTTTACGCCCAAAATCCAATGCTTTGCCAAGGATAGAGTTCGTTACGGCATTTACCAGATATGGGAGACAGGTAATAGTAGAATTCTGGAAGGTAATATTTTGTGTGTTTCAAGTAAAATGCTTATTAATTATTAATAATTGCCTCGTAACTGTCGTATGTCGTAAAACATTAGTGCTGCGGCATCATTACAATTGGCGATTTTCCCCGGCATAATAAATGTCATAAATTCACGAGATGTCTAATATATAATATCAACGTTTCGTCGACTATCGTTATGGATTTGAAACGCATAATTAAACAATTATTATTTGATAATTCTCGAAAAATCATAATTTTCGTTACTTCAATTATTTTATCTAAATTTGATTTAATGAACAATATATGTTACAATATATAATCTACTGCTCCATAGGCATAATTTACAAGGGAAAAGAAAAGTGAATGAAAATTAGCAACTATTCAACTGTAATTTATCATTAACTACTTTCAGATCATTATTATTAATTAATAATTGCCAATTAATAATTACACATTCATTAAAAATGTTAAATTGCTAGGTTTCAACATATATATATATATATATATATATATATATATATTTATATATATACGCTGGAGAGGAGATAAATTTTCTTTATCCGACAAAGTAACTCACAGAAGTAATATTGAACTTAAGCATCTTGTTCATGTAGAGCGGCATTTGCGTTAGAAGAAAGTACCAAGAAAAGTTGCCAAGGCAATTTGTCACGATCAGTGCCAAAAAGGGCACGGATGTAAAAATGGACTTCCATGGTACTTTGACACTAGCCGTGCCCGGTGCTCTATGACCGTACGATTGGACCAGCAATTGCCTTTCCTCCTCGCTTATATATTTCTGTTGTTCTGGAGAGTCGGCGAATAGCATTGCAAACACGATGCACCAGATCAGCGGCAGTATTCCATGTATGTAAAACACCATCTCCCATCCCAGATAATTCATAATCCAGCCAGATGTAAGGATGGAGATAACAGTACCGAGTGATGTGCCCGCGTAGATTATTCCAACCCACATGCTTTTTTCTTCGTAGACCACCCACTTCCCTACTAAAACATTGACAATCGGTAAATTCGCAGCGCTGACGAGACCGGTTAAAAAGCGAATAGTGTAGAGAATATTGATAGAATAGCATGCCATGGGCACCACAATCGTTAACACGGCGTTGAAAAAGACACATGCCAGCAGCACCCATTTCGTATTGAAGCTTGATGAAAAGAAAAAAGAAAAGGAAATAAATGAGTGACAAAATTTATGAGCAGCATCGAGCTTATAATATTAGAAAATAATCATTAGATTATGAAAATTTTTCCATTATTAAAACGTTCTTTTACACCAACAGCAGTCGCTAATACGCCTTTCATCTATAACTGGAAAATTCTGAAGTACTGCAAGCAATCAGCTTCAATAACAAAATATAAATAAAAATCTTCTGGTCTTAAAAAGTTTATGGATCTGTGCAACAGTTGAAAGTTATTCGTTAAAAAGTTTATTAATTGACATTTCTAGAAGGTAAGATGTTTTTAAATTACGTTACATTAATGTAAAATTACACGTCAAGGATAACGTGTACTACATCATATTTTATTATTTTATTACAAGTTGAATTTTATTTGTAACAATATACATGCTACGTTAGCTTCGTTGTATATACAATTTTGCGGCTTGAAGGTTAAAAGAATGCCGTTACGCAGAATTAGAAGGCTATTAATCGTGATATTACGTTTAGTTAATCAGAGTAACGCGAGATCACTTTCAAATAAACAGATCTAAGAAGTCTTTGATTAAGACTGTAATGTAAGTCACGATCTATCGCTAAAGACATCCAACTTTTTTCACAGACTTACGTAGGCGCACATAAATGAATAAAATAGTAAAGTGAATAAAGAGTGGTCTTCCTATATATCTTGTCGAATAAAAAATCTTAAAATAAATTCTGTTTTGTTAGTAGTATTTTATTTTAATTTATAAAAAATTTTCATAATAAATTATTAAATTAATTGAAATGCAACTTAACTTATGTACATTAACGTTGTTTATTGTTAGTTTACTATTACGAATTATGAATTTCATTTGTACATATTAATATTCGAGTATTTTGCATTAAAAAAACATTATTAAATTACGTATTAAATATATATATATACATATATATATATATATATATATATATGTATAATCATAAGTATAGTGATTAAAAATTTAGCGTAACATTATTTCAAATTATCCTATTGGCAATTAACACATTAAATAAAATAACTTACCGATCAGCAAAATAGCCTGATGGGAACATACCGACAAGATATCCAGCAAAGTACAAACTAATTATGAGTCCCTGTTCTGTCGTTGACCAATCATATGGTCCGTCAATATCAAATTGATCCACATTGGAGTTGTTGAGGTATTCTGGACATTCGACGATTTCTTCAACTCCCTCGACTGCCGCTTTCTTCTTAACCATACCGATTATCGTTGTTGATATATTTACTTTTAGCCCGTAAATAATCATATTAGCTATGCACAGCATTAGTGCAAATAAGAACCGCACGCTTTTAACTGCGATAAGGAAGGAAAGAAATTATCGATAATTTTTCATCTATTTTTAACTTAAGAAAAAGAAAGAAGTAAAAGTGAAGTGAAAGGTTATGATAATAAGCTTGCAATTATTAAAATTATTTTCAGCTTCTGCGTGTTAATGTTAGGATTTTATTTAAAATTTTTAAAATACTAATGATATATTGATTTAAATTATTTTTTCAATATGTTTTTACAACGAATAATAATGCATCTAAATAACAGCGTAAAATCATCGTTATAAGCCGTGTGATAATTATCGAATTAGTTATTTATATTATTTTCAGAAATTGCTGTATTTGAATATCTTCCGCATTTGCTTATACGTTTCAAATCAATGATTAATTATGTAAATATTGGGTTAAACAAAACAAGCATTAAATTAACGCCTAAGTTACATACGATTTTCTTAATTTCAATAATAGCAATGATATTTTATTTTAAGTAAATTATTTCTATAAATTGTTTGTAAAGAATTATTAATTATTTAATTGTTTAAGAAGTTCTAATGCGAGGATAAATTGTAAAAAGTTTGTAAAAACTTTCATAAATCTGTTATTCAGGCGTTATTTCTTGACGATTTTGAATATTTACTTACGTAATCTTTCAATGTAAAGTGTGAATAAAAACTATAAGACGTATTAGCGATTTGGCCAATAGTTTTCTACTTACTCATTTTCACAGCCTTGAAATATGATAATTGTACTGTACAAGATCCTTGCTCCTTACCGGCTTATGCCGATTACTGCTTTGCCTCCAAATAATCAAAAAATCTTATTTGGAGAAAAGTTCGTAATATCACTCTGTCGGCCTGCGTTGTTCTTCTATTTGTGGTTAATGTATAAGTTAGATGACAGCTAATAAAAAACAAAACAAGAATTAAAACTGATATTTCATTTTATTTTCGTTGTCACCATTTCAAGTGGAATATTTACTTTTACGTATTTGAATTTTTTTATTATTAAAGAGTCAAGAATAATTTTTCAAAAATTTAAGAACTTATTTTTCTTCATAATTCGTAATCATATATTTACAGATTTATATAATAAACGTTTACATTAATTAAAGAATTTTAAAAGCAACTGGAATTTAATATACATATTATTTGATATTTTATAGGGATGCACATTATATAATTTATACAAATAATGATATTGTGTAAATGCAGTATATATGTACGATTGATAATTATCTTGAATATTCTTATTCTTATTCTTATTTATTTTTTTGTTTTATATTTTTATTTAAATTAGGACAGTAAACTGCGAAAAAGACTTTAAACGAAACTCCAGCTATCAATATATTTGTATTCTTGTGGTTCAATGATATTTTCTTTAGTGTTAACTAAGGTTTACAATGAAATATTAATACATGACAATAAAATAATTTAAATTGAAATAAACTTAATTGCTCGCAAAATTTAATTAATATCTTTATTACTTGATCAACGTATTTATTAAATCTGTAATGCGTATACTTATTATAAAATAATGACTAATAATAATAAGAGAATTTTTAAAGGAAAAAGTTACTAAAAGGCTTGTATTCTTTATATTTGACAGAAAAAACGTTCCATAAATTATTTTCAATATTTATAATTGCTTATTATTATACAGATATAAAAATTTCACTTTTTCATGCCCACGCACACACATACGCACAAACCCATAAACATATTTATATATATATCACACACACACACACACATATATATATATATATATATATATATATATATATATATATATATATATATATATAATTCATAAATTTTTAGTATTTTATGATAATTCAACTAAATATTATTGTTTATTATATTTTTACAGCTTTATAAAAAGAGATAATTTTTGTAGAGCATTTCAATGTGATAGTCTAAGATAAACAATTGATATTCCTTTTTTTTCTCTATATCATGAAAATATACATAATGAAAATATCCTTATGCATGTACATTTAATGATTTATATAGAAGAAGAGATAAGATCAATTATAAATATAAGAAAAAGTAATTTTTACTTATACTAAAATCCAATCGATTTCATTCAATTTTTTCTAAATTTCTAGATATGAAAAATACAATATAAAATATCAAAAATAGATTACGTTTTTCACTTAAATACTATTAATAATGAAAATGTAAATAATACATTCTACAAATAATAATTGCATAAAAATATTAGTCTAATAATAAGATATTAATAATTATTATATTAATAATTTCATAGTAATACCACAACAATGAAAATGTTTTCATTTATATAATAATGTTTTTCAATTTGAAAATATCAGTACATCCGACCTACATTGTACATGAATATAACTCTAATGAATTAACTTACGTTAATTTAATGATTTATCGTACATTCATATTGTAGAATAATTTAGAAAATAAGAATTTAATGATCCTTTTTAGAATTTTCTGTAGATTATTTTTTTATTTAAAAATGTCATCTAACTATAAATATCCATTCGTTACTACACTTAAATTAGGATACTTTCATAATATTTGAATTTGTCGATTATACAATATTGTGATTAATGTTTGTAATGAATATTAGATATTAATATTTTATGTGAAAAAATGATGATTAAAATTTAGAAGTATGGAAATCTATTTTGTATCTACTAAAAAATACTCCTACCAACATGTTTAATCACGGGAATTACATCAATAGTCATAAATATATCCATAATTAAAAATTTTCGATATTTTATTCAATACTAATATATATATATATTGACATTAAATTTGTACGAGTAGAAATATCAATATTCAGAAGATCTCAATATGTAATAATAAAATTGAAAGTGATTGTAATCGATGAAATTCAATTATGTATGTTAAATTGTAAAATATCTAATATAAATTATGTACTTATGTTAAATAGGGAAATTAGAGTTTGAAAAATTATTTTCTTATTAATATAAAAAGAAGAAACATCACTAAAGTTTTCACGTTCAGTTGAATGATATTTCCCTTTCTACATTTATCCATGCATATATATATATATATATATATATATACACACATACATATATATATATATATATATATATATATATATATATATATATATATATATATACATGACATTTTACACGTAACGTTGCTCTTTTAATTTTCTTCTTTTTGTAGCCTGATGCATTAAATATAATGGGGATCTGTCTGGAAGTTTATGGAAAAACTCTTTTGCGTGCAAATCAATACACCTAAGCCTCTTGCACACTCACTCTGCACTCGTTGCAACTCCTTTTTTTTGAAACAAAAATAAAAGGTACAAACAAAAATTCCGCACTTTAACTCTGTCCGTCGTTCATCCGCTCGCTAAACGAAAACAAATCCCTCGTGTCATACTCTCCTCTGCTCTTACCGATAACTTTTTAAAATGTTTACTTCTCGGTTTCTCGTTAAATTATTCCGTCACTGCTGCAGCCGCACACACGCACGCACGCACGCACGCACGCACGCACGCACGCACGCACGCACGCACGCACGCACACACACACACACACCTTCTTTTTTTTTGCTCGTCTCGTGTATTAAAATTCAAGTTATTCAGCCACGCGCTACTTGTCACCCGCTATTCCACCGTTTATTCAAGAACTTCGGCATGAGGATACACTCTGTTCTCTTCTCGCTTCTTCGCTCCCCCTCCCTCTGCTGCCACACTCTCTTTTTCTCAGTCACTAGCGTTTAGCTGGGACTTTCAAAAAGATGAAACTTTTATTCTTGAGCTCGTCGCACGGATTATCACCCGCAAATATTTGCCCCTTGCATACACCTATCTAATCGCAGCGGAATCGGAAACTCTCGTGGCGAGCCCGCGATTACTCTTATCGTGTCAAATGTATTATTCGTTTTGCAATGGTTTATGTTAGCGCGAGCTGAAAAGACTCGAGACTTGCATGAACACTGAGAGCAACGACTGTGCGTTGCTTTTTGACATGCGTGCGAAGTCCATCGCTTCCCCGCGCGACGAGATAATTACATATCTTTTTTTACGTTTAGCAGATAAGCCGAAGCTCGTGGCGTTTATAAACAAAGCGAAGCCCTCGCCGACAATGTCGAGGCATATTCATGCTGATTTTATCGCTTTTACGAACGGTTGCATTTGCTTAACATCGCTGACAACGATATTCGTACTTAACATTTCGTTCCTTTTTTTTCTGAAACTTAATAGTAATTTTATTACGATAAGCATTATTCATTGCACGTTCTGTAATTTTGATTACTGACGGTAAATTAATAACTAATATGTCTTAGGTGTAATGTTCGTTGAAATGTACACGCTTGACTTTCATTTAAGACTAATTTAAGATGAATTTACTTGAGAAAATTAAAGCACACCGATCGGTTGTCTTTATTTCAACGATTAATGATATTTATCAAAATTTTTAACCATCTATTATTATATCATTATATTGCCGATTTTCAAGCTTAGAAGAAGTAGTAAGTACAAGTTATATATGCTAATCGTGTACGGGTTTATGCGCGCGTGTATGTGTCGAGATGGTGGTACCGGATATGCTCAAGTTGCTATTCTTTCTAAAGAAAGAGTAGAATTTTATTATATATTATTGTTTTAATTTTAAATAATGAACGAAATATTTGTAGATATATTTCACTTAACCTTGAATTTGAACTTTAATTATTATTGGAGTTCACTAAAATTTTTTGGTAATCTATCAATTACTATTGACTAAAATATAAAATAAATTTTTTCCAAAGCTATAACACTTCAAAACTCTCAAGATGAATGATTTTATGTACAGAGCCATGGTTATGTAGGAAATAATTAACTAAAGACACAAATGATGGCCATCGGCATTCTCACGCATTTATTATTTATAACAAATTATTTAACGTTGTGTCAATAGAATATTATTATATTTACGCATTTTAAAAATTTATTTTCATGACACATATTCATTCATTGGGTACATATATTTCTGCTGAATTCAAAATACTTGAAAAG